ATCATGTTCCAGATATCCCAAATCTTTAACTCAAAACCAACTGGAAACTGGAAAACGGATGTCGGTTCTTCTGGAATTTCTTTCCTTTTTACCATGTCTCAAGTCTACGAGCGCTAATACAGAACACAGTGAAGGAAAAAACGCATATAAGGTGTGAATAACTACAGACGTCACAAACTTGCTTTCAGCACAGTCTACAAACGCCTCCCCATTAGTACGTGTATATGGCTGCTTTGCAGTCAAGTAGTGTTGGACAGGGTGACATGCTTCAGCAAAACATATCAAAAGTTCATACGATTTGATCCACTGGGTAAAAGGTTACGGCCAAAAAGGCCTGGCCGAATACTTTTGAGCGCTATTGCACATTAGTACGCATCACTCACTCTCCGTTCTAGTGTCCTCATTCATATGCTACAAATACCTCGATTAATTTTTAAATTACTATATAATTCTCCAGTCCCGGTACTTTTTGTAATAATTTCGAAAAATAGTCCTTATTTCGGTGGTGCATCCTCATCGAAACTGCCCTTTAACGCTTTCGAGTCGAATTCGTTACATTTATAAAATGGCTCATTCAGATGTTACTGCAGTAGTACATACTAATTTTGTGTACTGCGTCGAAACTTAGATGTCATCGTCGTCTAAGGCGACGATCCCACACTAATATCTCGCCGTCTCACCGTTTGGAATAAGTCCCTTACTTAGCGCACGCCCCTAAACGAGGCGGGGTCAAGCATGACTACCTAAAAGCGTGGTCCCCACAACATCAAGGGCAAGACTTGGGTTGAGTTGTGCCAGATGAAGTGTTACTTACCATTATTTTGTGTTTTCACGCGGTGACGTCCTCACTTCATATACATATTTTTGAATTCTTTGCTACGCTATTACCGGAGTTTTGAATAACCCCTAATCAACCGCGCGGGTGTCGTTGCTACAGAAAAGAGCAAGTGGACAAAAGCGGCATTTTTTCTGATAATAAACTGACTACGTCCTGAATAGGTTGGGATTCAGAAGTACACACTATTTGTGATTTACTACCAGATGACTGCAGTCAATCTTCGAATAAAAACCTGTTTATAAAACCAACTCACGTGCTGTTACAGCATCACCGTTTTCGATCGAAGCCCACGGATCAGAATCCTTCTTTTTGGAGTCGTCAATCTCGACAATGATTGGTGTTTTGACTGAATCATTGTTTTGCTGAGCCCCGCTCTTGCGCCTACGAACCATTGTAGATGTTCCTTGGCGTAAACCAGTGCAACAAAAAATAGATACCCTTGAAAAGAATTAGCCGATATCAATAGAAAATCTTCGTAGAACCAACACTATGGATTTCTGGTAGCTACTATTGCAGTAAATGATAAACAAAATATACAAATAAACAAGGAGAGGTTAAAACGGTGAAAACAATAGAAGGTAAAAACATTGCATATTTCAGAGGAGCCCCCATCACCATTGCACCCCAACATTGCATCACCCCTAGTCGCTTCCACGCCACGTGGAAATGTCATTCGTGTTCAAAGAGCTGAACTGCCACCGGCAACAACTTGTGCCAAAAAGTCCCATTACCACATGCTCAAACATAAGGACAAGGATAGCAACTGAAAGACATAAACAACGTGCAGCAAGTACTCCTGTTTTGGAGAGTTTTTGACCACCCTCTCAGGTGTGCAAAAACTAACTACCTCAAGCTGCATTTCTATTCAGCTGGTATACCAAAAAAAAAACTATCGTTAGAAAAACTAGATGAAGTTTTCAGAACAAAGAAAAAGTTCTAGAAAGCACTGTTGCCTGCTGAACCCAACGCGGAAGCCTGACTCAATTTCTCTTTTTGTCTGCTCTCTCTAGCCGATAAAGTATCCTACTGCTGAGTGGGTACATACTACGCGACGACCAACAGCCAACGGCCGACAGGATCCGGCGGCCCGCTGCGTCGATCGATATAACGGGTTTTCGATAACCCATGCAAGTTATGTTACGATTTAACGCGTTCGACGCACAATAGCATGCCCTTTCCCAATCATTTCGATATTATGGAAATTCTACTAGAATCCCAACAACCTTGATATACAAAGGACGCAAAGGACGGAGCATTCTACTCGAAATATGGAGATCCGGAGGAGCATTCTATGATATACAAAGTCTGATGAACCTAAACTATTAATCAACCAAGATGAAAGCTGCAACTAACCAGCCAGGGAAGGAGGTAGGCTATGGAGCGCCTCGTGGGAACTAAACATGGGAACTAAAACGAAGATTCAGTCCGGCACTCGGCTCTATACAGTAATCCCCTGGCTTACCCCACAACCCACCCCGTCTCCTTGCCCAAAGCCCCTTTTCGACGCGTCATATATGTGACGGGTAAAAATTTGTGTTGTTTGTGTTAACACGTGCCGGATTACTGTAAGAACCGAGTGCCGGACTGAATTTTCGTTCCTGTAACATGAGACAGTTGCATGAAATACCAACCAAATGCACCGCGCGAACTCGTGCGTCACCTTGCATGCTTTGTATGGCTTATGCATGAACGCACATTGATTAAAACTAAATTCGATGGCGATCACCCATACACACCCTTTCATCCTTGACTAGTGGCTGCCTAATTCCAGCACCCTTCCCTTCCAAAGCCCACTTGGCTGGATACGAATTTTTGCGCCCCTGCTTGCACCAGAAGGGAATGAAAGTAAAGTCAAAAGTGCGCAAGTAAAACGAGCTGAGTTCTCTGAGTCCACTCGATTCTAGCCATATTCGGGACCACACCATCGCTTGAATAGTATAGTATGACCACGACAACAAAGGTTTTCGTATTTTCAGTTTCGTGACACCACCTAATATTGTACTCTCGTTGTTTACAAGTGTAGCAAAGCTATACCGCGTAACTGATGTATTCCTCTAGAGCCGAAATAAGGCAGCGATAATGAGCATCACGATATAAGAAAGGCTAATTCGACCAAAACGGGGGAGAGAAAGTAGAGAAAATGAAGAAAAAATAAATGATAGCCAAATTCTAATCGTAGCTAGTGCCATGTCCCACAACTTCTATAAAAAACAACTTTGCAAAGTAGGGTGCCGGCGCGGGCCCGCTGCACCGCATATGGCCGTGCCTTTGATCATCGATTTGCTCCCTGTGTGGTCATTCGCTGAGAAGTCGTCAGTAGCCAGTACAAGTTCAACGTTTTTACCCATTCATTTGATTATGTTCGCCTGACCAGCATAACAAGCAATATTACCAGCTTGTGCACTCCCCCCCCCCTCTGTTTCCGGGAACTTTTAGCGGGGAGTTGAGCATTTGGAGGTACTGACTGATAGAGCACACATTCCATGTCTTGGTCGTAGCAATATAATGGAGCGGGAATAGATCCATAGTCGGGAATAAGTCGGAATGATTACACATATGCCACGATGTTAACAGCGAACCATTTTGCTTGGTGCCCGAGAGCACCGTGATTACCGTAAGCCTCCGTATAGCCCACAAACGCTTTATTAGTAAGCAAGATAACATTGCGTTCCCCATCATTCCTCATGCCACATAGATTTTCTGATTATAGTTTGAAGGTTTGTGACTGAAAAGCTGGATGATATACACAAGATAGGGCTGACGGTATTTCCATACGAACTAAAACAACAAGCAGCAGTGAGTCTCCCAATATACCTCCACTGAAAAGTGGAATCTTTCCCATCAATGCGCCTAGTCGGATATAGTACGCCGTCGGGTAAAAGAACCCACAACAAAGTGAACTAGTCTCTCAATCATTACGAGTCTAATTTATCATATTTCTAACTGCACCTTCAACCAAAAGAGAACATTCACAAGAGCTAAACAACATGAACTGTTCAATTCCTAAAAAATATGTGATGAAAGACAGCCATTCAGATGGCTTCCGTGTATCGCCTCTACCGTTTTTAATTGATTATCAGAGAATCCTTACTGAACTTTATAAAAATAACGAGAAATATTGAAGCCTGACGAAATTTTGCATCTCCAACAACACTGACACTTTGAGTAACTTCTGAAGCTTAAAATGTTCGGGAACACAACCTCGTCAAAGCAAATAAACAAAATTGATTAACAATTTTTATTTGTGTAAGTTATAGGGCATAGATGCAGTACCTGCATAGGAACTGCAGAACAAGTCGATCACCTCCATTCATAGTGGATGTATGGGTAAGCTTAACACGTACATGATACCATGCAGAGCTAACAAAGCCATTTACATCAATGGAACGCCGCATAAATACAACAACGCAGAAATCAATCGACAATTCTTCGGAAAAATTAAAAGTATATAGAAACTATAAATAAAGTTCTTCAGGTGCGCCTTCCTTCTTCCGATAGAGAACATTCTCTTTCGCTTTCTGGAAGTCTTCCATAGTAACACGCATACGTCGCTCACGAAGAGCTAATAGACCAGCTTCCGTACACATGGCCTGCAAATGCAACAATAAGGCGTGGTTGAGGTGTATGTTGAAATCATCAAAAGCACAATTTTAGGGTTGGTCAAAGCTCCAAAGCGTGCGAAGTGAGATGTTCATTCACCAATACATGGATGTGCTGAATTTATACACAAATTTTTTTAGAATTTTGTGATCAAGGTTTTTTATTCTCGAGAAACGGTACAGTTGGCAACGTCAAATAACGTTTAATCAATGCTCGAATGAGGCTCTTCAAAGTAGTTCGACTCGCTGGACACGGACATCGAACCGTTACAAGTGAGATCGCACCTTATACTATCAAGGTTTCTGTGGCACGAATACAGACCCCTACTTGGACGCTAAAGCCACTACATGACTTACACCGACGCAAATGAGTTCGCCCAAGAACATTAGCCCGACAGGACGAGGCACGTAAGGCTGAGTAAATCTTACACCAAAGATGAAATTCAATCGAATTTTGAAAACCATGATTGTAAAGGATAGATGTTACCGTAGAAACGATATTACAAACCAGACAAAAACTTTATGCATCTGTTCTGAAGTCATTCTTCTAAAACTAACTTAGTGTTCCGATAGTAAAATAAAAGATTTTTTAGTTTCAAGTTCCAGGATACATTTGCCACAGTTAGACCAATATTGCACATAGCACAAGCTCACTGTTTGCATTACCGCTGTCATTGTGAAGAGCGATCAATGAAGAATGTTAAATTGATTGCGCAAGCTACATTTCTGCTATATTTATACGTACCTTTATATCAGCTCCACTTAACTCATCCTTCGCAAGAATGAATTCTTCCAAATTCACGTCCTCACTTAGGGTCATTCGGGAAGTGTGTATCTGCAATCCATGAATACACCAACGATCAAAAATTGACAATTGTCCGTCTTAACACACCTGGAAGATTCTTCGTTTCGTTTTCTCGTCAGGCAGTGGGAACTCTATTTTTCTATCGATACGGCCGGGACGTATAAGAGCGGGATCAAGAGACTCGATGCGGTTGGTTGCCATCAGCACCTGAAACAGATATCCATATTTTAGACGAATGCAGATTCGTTATCCATTGTAAAAATGAGGCAAATGGTCAATGATCAAACTTTAACAAGCAAAGCTGAATAATGCCAGTAAGGGGCACCTTCACATCACCACGTGAGTCGAAACCATCAAGCTGATTGAGCAGCTCGAGCATGGTACGCTGAATCTCACGCTCTCCACCCGAATTAGAGTCGTACCGTTTCGTTCCGACGGCATCGATTTCGTCAATGAAGACAATGGACTGCAATAATATTGTATTCGTTAGCGAAATTTTAGAGTGAGAACTTTTTTAGAGCCACACCAAGAGCCGACCCCGACTATACTTCTTTATCAAATTTGAGGTGTCAATATACACTAAAGTGCATTCTTTTTCAACAGTACTCAAAGATTTTAATGTTTCCCTTTTCCCAATGACTCTATGCCCAAACGCAAGTTTCCACCATTTCCTGCCAGTGTTTGTAATCAGAATATCGAGATAATTCAGAGACAAGTTCATACCGGTGCGTTCTCCTCAGCAACGCGGAAAAGTTCGCGCACCATTTTTGGACCATCACCAAGATACTTTTGTATAAGCTCTGAACCGACAATTCGGAGAAAAGTGGCTGAAGTCTGATTCGCGACCGCTTTGGCAAGCAACGTTTTACCGGTTCCAGGACAACCGTAAAGAATGACACCTAAATCAATGACACACATTAGCACAAGGAAATCTAAATCTTAACCACAAATATGTAATACCAGTACCTTTTGGCGGTTTTATTCCCATTTCCTCATAGTATTCTGGATGAGTTAACGGCAACTCGACCGACTCCTTGATTTCTTGTATTTGTTGATCCAAGCCACCGACATCAGCATAGGTTTCCTGTGATACCGAAGCTATATATCAAGAAGTAAGGGCACACAAACAACTTGAACAACCTGTGGCGCTTTTTCAAGCTTCATTACTGAAACCATTGGATCAGTATCATCAGCAAGTACTCCAATGACAGCATGGTTCTAAGAAGAACAAAGATAACGTTTGATGACAGCGATAAAATCAAAATCAAATATTTTTCCGTCAGATGTTGGATAGCATTAGGTCTGTGTCAGCGATGCAAAACAGCTCTTCAATAGCAAGGAAGCTAAGCCACATACAACCCAGAAAAGAGATAGTTGACAAACCCGCCAACCATATCGCAAAGCGCAGCAACTACAATCAAAAGAAAGCATACAAACTAAACTGCTAATCTTACCTTATGGTTAAGTAAAACAGCACATCCTGGCTCAAGCTGCTCTTTGTCTACGAACGACATTATGTTCACATAGTGTTCACTTCCTACGTTCTGAAACAATATGGGCATCAGAGCTGAATTTTGGTCCAATCCGGAAAGAAAAACCATGAAACATACTGTAGAAACAATGGCGTGTTGGTCATCGATGATTTCCTCTAATGAACCAACAGCCATTGGTGTACCTCGAAGTTCGTCCACCTAGAACAGAAGCAGCTCAAGAGAAGTAAAAGAGTAGATCAAGAGAAGAAAATAAAGTCAAAACAAGATGAAAAAGGCAAGCCGGGACAACTCGGCTGATAGCTGATCAAAATTCCTTCTTAGCGACTTCAGAAAATTTTGATGTAACCAAAAATTTTGCATGATCCAAACTGAACTGAACTCACCTTTGTTCTTTCCTCTTCTTGACGCTCTTCCTGGGGCTTGAGACGTTCCTGATTTTGGATAAACTCCTGCTCCATCAAAAGGTAGTCCTTTATTCTCTCACTTTTTAACAACTTCAGACGGCATCGGGCGTGAGGAGTGACTGAAATATTGTGAAAGGTATTTTTTATCAATTTAAAAGACAAAGCATAGTCTTAGCCGTTAATCAATCCCGTCTGAGTGATGCGCTCAGGCATGACCTCCATTCAGAATTGTGTAAATATTAAGCAATGAAAAATCGTTTGATTCTAAATGACCTCTTTATTATCTCGAAGAACATACTTGCAGGAAGTTTGCTGGCAGTGTCTGGGCCCTTCGAGCCCTTCTTTCTCTTGCCGATTCTCGACGGTATTGGAGCCTCATACTTCTTTTTCTTTTCCTTATCGGCATCCCCTCCACCACGCTCGTTTCCTTTGCCACCGAAACCAGACTGTTGCTGTCCCATTTCTTAAAAGAATCGTGTACAGCATCCTTACCCAGTCAAATAACAAAGGTATGATGCACAGACAAAGGAAAAGACATTGGCTGTTCTTAGCGATTATTCGACAGGAAGGTGAAAGAGGATGGAAAAGAAATAGCTGTTGAAAAGAATCTAATCCTTCAAAACGTGATGACATTAGAGCGCCGAAAAAACTCGTCCACTGCTCTTAGCGGCTTCGCCGCGTCGTCGTCCATCGTGCATGCGATTTCAAGTGGAGCACGGAAGATAGAAATCGCTAGAGGAACTGAGAGAGCTTTGTAAAGTTTCTGAGGCATTCGAACAGTAGCTATTGCTAGGATGTTGGATAAAGGATGACGAATAAAGCCTTTGGTGCGGGTCAATCCCGTTTTTTTTGGAGTGCCCTATCAGACTATTATTCAGAACCATAGGGGCGATTTGGGTGCGTATGCGGCCTACACAATGAGTCATGGTGGCCAACCAATGTGCCAGTCGGTGCTTTTTGACGAGTCTGGTACCTCGGAGAGAGGAAGGCTTGGCTGACTCAGATGTGTATCAATCTAGACCTCTATACCCGATCTCTAGCCATGAGTGAAGAATAGTAGTATGGGATGGGATTCACTTCTTACCACACAGGGTGTGCTGCCATTCTATCGCCAAGATAATGGGATGACACCGCACATGGGGCTCCCGATTCCTTGAATCGGGTATCACACCTGTTGTCGTCAGTGTGCAACGACACGAGTGGTGGGACCTTAGAAGGGAGACTTGATTTCTTTACTGAGACTTTAGATTATTTCCCTTCCAGGTTTTCTGTCCGTATGCAAATTTATACATATCTTTTGATATTGCTCAATTTCAAGGAGACCATCAGCATCTGCTGGCTTTACCGGCCTGAATGAATCTGACAACATGACTCTTTGAATGACTTTCGACTCTCCCCGGAAGCCATCACCACATTGCTGTACGCCAAACTACTACTCTTCTCCATTTGGGTTAGCTAATAACAGGCCTTCATCAAGATAATATTTTTAACGAAAAGCACAGCGTTTATTAGCCGGCTCTAGCTGAGTGAATGTGAAACCGGTTAGTATAATTCTGAAGAAGTTGAGAGTAAGTTAATTTGAATGAGTTGATCCTCATAGACCGTCTCACTCCTCACTTTTTAGTCCGGATGTCAATTTTCAAGACAATATTATGGCAAAAGTAGTGGAAGTGCCTTAATTAGCTTTGGCTTTGCCATGCAAAAGCAATAACACAATTAACTTTGTTGTGGACGTTGACCGATCCACATCATAAAGCACGCAGGGCTACCATAAATAGCCAGTCGTATAGTACGATGTGCAACCCCCGAAAGAACGGAGAGAAAATGGTTTTGATCATTCTGAACTAAAACTGCTGAGGGAATATCTGTTCTATGAAGTTGCTACCATTAATCAGTCAGTCTAGGGTTTGTAAACAATGTAAACAAATCTGGTGTAAAGCAACGACGAAAAAGAATTGGGTGAGATTTAATTGTTTGGAAGGGGT